TCTTAAATATCTTAAGCAGGCACGAAGAACCTGTTGATGAGCCGTAGGACAATGACCTGAGGTTGAGTCGACTTATGGAACTTTCACAGAATGGTGATATCGATCTGTGCCACACATGGCGTCATGGATTCTCTCCTGAAGGGAGGGGGGTCTTGAGCTGTGCAGCATCGCTGATCAGTCTAATCTCGAAATGGCTGCGCAAGCGCTGCGGGAGGAAGCCGAGTGCACTCAGATGGTCGGTGTGGTCCTATAACCACAGATAAGGAATGAGTGGCATGAGAAGGCAAAAGCAATTTATCCCACATACTGGCTAATAATCAGCTTAGGTGTAGTGCAATAGCCGCTGGGTGTATATCAGTGGGGCGATTGAAAGGGTAGAAGCGTTTCTGCAGAGAGCTTTAAAGGGTGTAAGCTCCAAGTTGATGGGGATATGGGAGATCACCATGACGTGCAGCCTTGACATGATCCCTTTTTTTGCCAGTGCTTGTATTTTTGGTGTTGATCCACATCACGGACCAATAGGCTCGTCTTTCTCCTGAGGAATTGTTCGCCTGATACTAAGTACTGGAATTCGAATTTTAAGACTTATGTTTAAAATTGATGTCGTAACTTTCAGGACACAAGAGATGAACATAATTATCTCCATAGAAAATAATAATAACAGTCTAATAAGAAATCGATTCCATTGGAATGTAAAAGTAACGAACCAAGGGTTTCATCTGTAGCCCGGCATAACTGTCTTGCCTAAATGTTTCAGCAGTCCATCTAACTCTTTACACAAAACAAGATACACAGAGCGAACGTAGGCAGACATCACACTCCGGGTTTTGCGACCTTGCTGTATTTCTGAGTCCATGCACAATTCTCGCCACTCGAACATTGCCACCCCAATTTTTTTTTAATCTAAGACGAAGTGCAACACGCGACTTCAACCCATATGTGAAAATGGACGTAATGGAGAAAAATGCATCACCAGAGGGGCCAAACATTTTCCTTCGTAAGATTCTCAGTGAGCACAATACGAAAATTCATTCAAAGGAGTTAAGTGTCCTTATTCATGAGTCAGCTACTTGAATTGAAAGTGAAGCAATCCCTGTAAAAATTTTCCGAAAATATAGGACTGCGGAAACGAAGATGGAGCACTGGTGAAAAGGATATTGATTAATACCCTTGCCATCCTCGTGCTTTGATGGGTAACTCCAAATTTCGGATAGACATAATTTGTTTCCCTTTTGGCTGAAAAATAAATAATAATGTTCAAAGTGAGGCAAACCCTGCAAAGTAACAACATGACATTCAGGCTTTTTCCCCTTTCAGAGTGTTCAATAAATCAAATGGATTCTGGGAGCAGGATCTAAAATGGCCACCTCATGAATAAAGCCCACTGCAGATACTATGCCTGGTAGCCTTCGTTAAGGGTGCGCACCTTTGCTTGTCCAGGGCAACAATACGCATCTTCGTGTCTTTTATTCAAAAAAGTAGCACAGCACAGCACAGCAGAGGTCGTAGCAAGTCAATTTTTTCAAGTTAAGTCAGTCACAAGTCATTTTCTGCAAGTCTAAGTCAAGTCACAAGTCAAAAACTGACAGTTACACGTCAAGTCACGAGAAACAAAAATGGTGACTCGAATCCAACTCATCAACATTCTCAACAGATCACAATACAACACAAAATACAACAGAGCAAACGAAACCAACCAACCAACCAACCAACCAACCAACCAACCAACCAACCAACCAACCAACCAACCAACCAACCAACCAACCAACCAACCAACCAACCAACC